AGAATGCGTCTAGTCTATAGCATTAACCATAAGCAAAAATTTATTGGTTGATCTACTACACTGTTACATCCCTAATTCTCAATACTCAGTATCAGGGTAAAACCTTAACTGCTAAAGAAGGGAAGTTGGCTATGACATAGGCATCCAGGAATCATCTCTCCATAATGCCAACTAGAATAGAATTCAAAGCTAAGGATGAACCATTCAAGAAATATAGGTTTGCCGATGATGTTTTAAAGAAAGTTACACCAGAGAATTGGTAGAAGTCACTTAAGCACTTGGATTCAGAGACTGTTGAAATGATCATTTCAATTTTAACAGCAGTAGAGTCTTCTGCCCATGCAGAAAGAATATTTTCTTCCTCTGGAATAATTCATTCCCAAGTGAGAAATCGTTTGGGACCTGAAAAAGCAAGCCTCATGAATAGGAGCTGCAAGGGAGAGTTTGACTTACCTGGAGTGCGAGGAAAGCATCAAGCTAACTTGGAGCTGCAACTGAGGGAGGAGGGCTTTAGACATTCAGCCAATGAAATGCATATAAGCAATTTCAAACAAGAGAGGGGTTTTTTCCCTTTGTTTGGAGTCAAGCAGCAGTTTCCCAGCAGGTACAGAGCAGGAGAGATGGACTCTCTCAGGAACAGAATCCTTGAATTCATTAAAATGTGAAAGTAGGAAAAAGTTTAGCTAGCCTGTTGGGTTTTGTTTTCCTTGTTTGGGGGTTTGGAAATCTCAGCTGGTAAAGTGTTTTTCTCTTCTGTTTTATAACTAAGAACTACAATCCAGGGAGAATCCCTGAATCTATTTCAATTCATGGCTTTTAACACCCAGTCATTTACTATGCTTGCAACAGTAGTCTTGTTTTAATAATAAAAGTGTTTCCTCTTTTGTTTAGTTAATAGTTATTGGTTAATTTTTGTGTCCTTAAACTTACATGCCTACGTGAAATCACTTTACTGGGAGATCCAGAGCCCTGTTGTCTCTGCTGATTATCTGTTTATTTCTTCTACTCCTAGCAGAACAGAGATGAGGACAGCAAGAGCTTTGTCACAAGTCTCAAGGGCACTGAAACCAGACAAGTTACAGAGCCAGAGTTTATTCTATTAGTCAGCCCCCATTATTTACACTCAAAATGCCAGGTTGGAGAATTGATCCATGACATCTTCCCATCCCTCTTCCCTCCCAGCAAGTACAGGTGTGTCATGCTGCATGTGTGTTTTACGTTTCTTGTTTTTAATAAATGAAATTGTTGTATTTCAAAACAATCTTTATTCTACCGCATGAAAGCAAGCAGGCAAGCACATCACTGCAAAGCAAAGGTCACTTTAGCACAAAGTGCATCATATGGACCAATCAAAATAATCCCTTTGCAATGCAGCCACTGCACTCCCATGTGTGGCAACACATATTACTGACTTTCAGCATCAAATTGCTGCCTCAAGGCATCTCTAACCCTTCTTGCCCTGCACTGGGCTCCTCTAACAGTCCTGATATTGGACTTTTCAAACTCAACCTCCAGGCACTGAGCCTCAATGGTCTAACTGAGTGAAGCTTCCCCCAATCCTTTCCATCAATATTATGGAGGGTATAGCAAAGGACTATATCTATAGGATGTTGCATGAGCCATGTCTAGCTTCTCATACAAACATCGCCAGCAGGGGCTGGAACACACAAAATCTACTAGGCTGAGTCCTCCTAGGCTCTGGTATGCCAGGGGAATATGGAGAGTGTCTTTCTCCTCAGTTGAGTGCCATGTCAGTGAGGGTTTTTTGTGTATGGCTCCCAAATGAATTTTCTGTGGGTCAGTGGCCCCCGATCCAAAAAAGGTTCCCCAACCCTGCTTTAGAGAAAGATCCCATCTTCGTTTAAAATTGCCCATGACAGGGAATGCACCAGGACCCCTGGTAAACTGCTCCAGTGTTCAATTCCCCTCACTGTTAAAAATTTGTACCTTCTTTCCAGTCTAAATGTGTCTTGCTTCATCCATTGGATTGTGTTAGTCATTTCTCTGCTAGATTGAAGAGCCAATATGTGTTCTCCGGAAAGGTATTTACAGACAGAGATCAGCACCCCTTAGCCTTCATTTTGTTAATCGAAATAATGGTAGCCTCAAAGAACTCAGTCTATCAGGTGGGTTTTCTAATGCTTCAGTCAGTCTCGTGGCTGTTCTTTGAGCCTCCTCAAATTTAGTAACGCCCTTCTTGAACTGTGGGCTACAGAACTGGCTGCAGAAGGGGCCAGTGGTCACACCAGGGCCAAAGGCAGAGTAAAATAATGTCGCTGCTCCTACCCAAGCACCTTGGCCCAGGCTGTTCTCGGTCTCTCTGCCACATCTCTCAATTAGTGCTTGCGTCATGGGAGCCAGAGCTGAGACCCACCAAACTCATGCCACACACAAAACATCAGGCAACCAATAAGTAGCAAAAGCGAGTCCCTAACACACAGCGTAGCCAACTCCCCCGATGCAGCGCTCCCCTCCCTTCTGCCCTCTCCATCCCTGAAAACCCAGGCCTGTGAAGGAGTGTCCCCTTGGAGCTGCCCCCCTTAGACCTGGAAGATGGTAAATACCCCCCTCCCAGAGCTGTAAGAGGCAAAGTGGGGTTGGGCAGTTGGGGACCAGGAAGAAAGGAGATGAAGGTAAGAGAAATTCCCCATTCTTCCCTTCATCCTTTTCCAGGCCCCATCTCCCAGTCCTAGCCCATCCCCCTCATCCTCAGTCACCCCAAAGCTTCCCCCGTCCATCGCTTGGTGGACCCAGGCCTCACTGACAAACGCTATGTGACACTGCAGGAGGGGGGAGTTGCTGTGGTGTTACAGGACTGAGCAATTGCAGAACTGCATCCACTACATACCTGCTGGACTTTCCCCCCAACACCCACACACCCACATCCTATCAAATGTGGTGGTTCCCCTCCCCCATGCTTGATCAAAACTGGCTTGTGACTCTAGATGCGCATACCTCAGAGATGCTTTGGACAAAATACCTCATGTAACCTATCCGTTTTAATGTTACAGGCTGCTGGGGCTGCCTGGACTATTTTGGTGCTTGTATCATTCCTGTATGTGAAGTTAGAATTACGAAGTGTGAATCTGGTTATAGTTTTCAGAGTGGTAACGAGATCCAATACCCATGCCCCCCAAAGCCTAACAACTTGGTGATCAACTCATCGACTTGTAAAAAGCCTTGTTTGTCCTGTAAGTCAAAACAGTGGTTGGTCCTAGGAAATCATGTGACCATACCACCTGGGACTGGCATCCATTTTGAATTGGGTATTTTTCCAAGTGGGGGGGAGTGTAAAACAAAAGAGTCCCACGTTAGGGGACAGTCTATGTAAGCACAGGGAAGATATCAGCCCTTGGTCTTCAGCTACCCTGGGAAACTGCCTGATAGACCTTAAAAGGATACAAAGAACTTTAAAGAGGGCTGAGAATCTCTCTCTGACTTGAAGATTATGTGTGACATAAGAACAGCTATTTAGGGTAAGAATTTGTGTGCAATAAGCTTTTAGGGCAATTAGAACTAGCTATGCATTTTTTTTTTCATTTTAATTCTGTAACTTACTTAGATCTGTTTTCACTTGCAACCACTTAAATCCCACTGTTTGTGCTTAATAAAGTACTTTTGCTTACTCGTGTAACAATTGGCATACTGTAACAATTGTTACCTGGGGGAAACAACTACTGTGCATCTCTTTTACATTGATAAAGGAGGCTTTCCTGATGAGCTTTCACTGGGTAAAACTTTTATATAGAAAAAAATGTATTTGGGTTTTTGATCCCTTTTGTGGGCTGAATTCCTGGATGCTGAGCCCTAGACCTGCAACCTTCCAGAGCTGAAGTGGTTCAGTGTCTGCATTGCTCTGCAGGGAGGCAGTTACCCCAGCTCTGTGCCTGGTCTGGAGGAGACCAGAGGATCTGGCCCAGCAGGACAGAGTGGTGGAGAGCCTCAGGGAGAGCAAGGCGGGTGTCAGTGGCATGATCAGTACACTAAGGAACAATTCTAAGGAGCCTTCTGTGACTGCAGCCCATCACACCGAACACACAACCGCACAGAGAAGGGCAGTCGCACCTGTGCCCACTCCCATCCGAGAGTCAGGAGGACCAGAATGCAGAGGGAACTGAACCCAGGAGTCCACATAACCAGCCCTCCCTGCCCCTCAGACACGAGAGACCTGTTCTCCTCCCAGACCTAAGGAAAAAACAGGAGTCCTAGTGCACAGGCCCCAGGCTGTAACCCATCAGACCCCACTCCTCTCCCAGTGCCAGCTGAGGACAGGACCCAGGGCTCCTGAGCCTCCAGCTGTTCACATCCCCCTGCCATAGGGGCACTCGCTGGGCACCCATGGGGAGGAGCCCAGCTCTTCCCAATGCCTGTGGCTGGCACTTACCTGTGCAAAAGTAGAAGAGCAGAGGCAGGGGGTCCATCCTGTGCTAGGCTGAGGGGGTGCAAATGCTCTCCTAGGACATGTGAGGTTTCAGGATGCTGCCTGGCAAGGAGATAACAGCTCAGAGGATGGAGAAGTTATATATGAAAAAAACCTCAGCGGGGGGAGGACTTAGGGTGTTAGAGGGAGGGAGCAGAAAAGAAAGGAACAAATAACTGAGTGTCTCAAAGTAGTGAGATACACACAGCTACAAACAAACAAAAAACACCGACCAAACATGACTTGAACTCCACCCTGGTCAGTGGTCAGCTAGTTATTTTACATGATTGCATGCACTTTCCAGCACTAAGACAACCACAAACATATTTTTTTACATTCAGGGATGACCACTACACAAGATCCACTCTCCCAGACATTCCCACAGGGAAGCAGGGCTCTGATAGGCAGGGACCAGGATAGAGGAAACTCAGGGAACAGGGTAAGTTTCGACAGCAAACTGGGTTCACTTCTTGTAAGTTGCATTGCTGCGGGAGGCGAGCCAGCCCCTGTACCCCTGCCCTGCTGGTGACTGTAGCTCAGTTCTAGGCGAGGAACCCCTGAGCCCCAACCAATGT